TGATGCAGCTGGGACAGCATTTGCAAGGATCTAATAAGGCGGAGAGGAGAGATGATAAATACACCAGAGTTGCCTCAGATAGGTTGTAAAGCCTGTAAAATCTGAGAGGTCTGATCCAACTAAGAAGCAGTAGAACACAGGTTTCCATATATAGTTCCAGCAGCAAAGGAAGCTCTTACTAATTGAGCCACATGAGACCCTGGTGAGATGCAATCCCAAGACCAGTGAGACTTGCTGGCAATGATGTCCACAAATAGCAGGCTGGTTGAACAGCTGTCACTGTGACCCAGTGAGTCACTTCCCCAATAGTACCACACTTCTTTACTAGCTGTCTTCAAAACATTTAACATCCAGATTTATCTGGGCATCTCCAATGGTAAATGTGAATTCTGACTAAGAAATGGATCTGAACAGAGGGCTCTGGAAAGCAGGTCCAAGTATACATTCTTCCCAAACAATCACATTTCAATGAGGATTCAAAGCCAAAGGCAGAATTCAGAAGCCTGCAGAACTATCCATATGTTTTTCAAAATCAAAGACAGGTGGACTAAGGTCGGGTGTGGTAATGGATGGAGAAATTGGATAAAATTAATGAGGGGCCCTGGCCGGTTTGGTTCAGTGGTTAGAGCGTCGGCCTGTGGACCAAAGAGTTGTAGGGTCGATTCTGGTCAAGGGCACATACCTCGGTTGCGTTTCGACCCCAGCCCTCATTGGGGTCATGCGGGAGGCAGTGATTTGATGTGTCCTTTTCACGTCTCTCTCTTTCCCCCTCTCTCTCCCTCCTACTCTATCTGAACAAAAGTGGAAAAAATGTCCTCGGGTGAGGATAAAAAAAAAAAGTTAATGATGGGATGATCTGCTCTGGAAAGTGTCTATTCCTCCTGGACTTCCAGCTGTGGCATATAATATTCCATGTGGATTCTGAACCAGAATGGGGATGGTGAGGGAGATCAGCCTGAAATCCAGAGATTCATTAACTGGTTGTTTTAAACTCGAGAATTATGGCCAAGGCTTGCAGAAAGCCAGCTCTCTTTCTGACATCCTAGAGAGAGAGGCTTTGCTTCCTATGGTTAGGTGGAACTTCACCTGCCGGGGAAAATACAGTTGCTGGGAGAATGGGATTTGATGTTTTATCTGTGAAAAACTTTCATGATTCCTGAGTACCAGAGGTAACCAAACTGCATCCTTAAGAAAATGGTAACACTGTTCGCTGCTGGGGAGTGGAACCCCAGGTGGCTGAAGGTGAGAAAGGAAGCTTTTTTTTCACTTTTTCCGTATGCCCCTTGTCAAAAACAAAAACAAGAACACACTCCCCCCATATTGCCCAACCCACTTCCTAAGAATAAAAAGGCAACCTGGCCCCAGAGCTGGAATAGAGAATTTCCTCACTGAGGACTATAGGGCTTAAGTAGGAGCTGGAAGGGGGAAACAAAAATCGGAAGAGTGGAGTTAGTTGTGCGTTGAGTGAAAAACCATGACCAAAAGGGCAATTCAAAATTAACACATTAAAGTGACCAAAACCAGCTCCTGGAAGGAGGTATGGTCCAGAACCAGAAAACAAAGCACAAGGAAAACAGAAAAGCAAGAGCAAACTGGTGGAGAATAAACTCGAAGATATTTGAGAAAAGCCAAGGACAAGAGCCTGGGCATTATAATGGGTGGATCCATGAGACTACAGGTTCAGGAGCTCGAGTCCTGGGCAGCAAGGTGCAGGCCAGGGCAAAATTCGCATCAGCACCTGGGAATACTCCTAGACCATTCTCTAGTGATTCTGAACAGCCAATTGTGATTTGCTCTGCATGAGTGTTCAGGCAGTAATTTTACTTCCCCCAAATCTGAGGTACATCAGGGTTATCATCTCATTGAATATTTTCTGGAAAACGCTGCAAATGGGCATTGGGTTCAAGTAGTCATTTGACCTGACTTCTACTCAGGACAGGATCTAAGGTAATAAATTAAGTTGTTTTTATTATAGCTACTTGGAACAATTTGAGTTCTCAGTCCTGATTACCTGTTTCCGGTGCTGTGTCCAAACCCTGTATGGGCCAACATTGCTCCTGGCACCCTACACTCCAGCATGGTCTTGACCCAGCACCTTTGGAAAGGTCATTCCAGCCCTATGCACAGGATGGGAATAAGTCCTGAAATAAGTTCTCTCAGGACCTCTGTGTTATAATAGGTTGAAGATAATGCCTGTAGGTGCTCTTGTAGGATCCTGGCCCTTGCTGAGGAGCACACAATTCTGCAACAACTATCAAAGATTAGTATGAGGTTCATTAACCAATGGCACCTCAATAAATTCAATAAAAAAATTTTAAAAGTATGTTCAGTCACACAGTTACAATAGACAGCCACAGGGGATTTGTTCCAGAGCGTAGTGCAGAGTGCTTGTGGGGAACCCAAGGTCTTATCTGACACAGGAAGATGTAACAGTCCTGAAATAGAATGTTTAGAAATTGCTATGTAGGTTGAAGTCTATAAGCTGTTGCTTGGTTTGAGTTTCAGCTTTTTTTTTTCTTTATTGATTTTTAGAGAGAAATAGAAACATCGATGAGAGAGAACATTGACTGGCTGCCTCCAGCATGCCCTCACTGGGGATTTGGCCCACAACCCGGGCATGTGCTCTGACCGGGAATCAAACTGGCGACCTCTTGATGCATAGGTCGACGCTCAACCACTGAGCCACACCTGTCGGGCTTGGTTTGAGTTTTATTGCACAATATATTTTATTTGTGGGATAAGGTCTAGGTTTCAGAGTGCTTCAAACTGAGAGGTATTAATAGGGAACTTGTAATTCTTTGATGGAGATACAGTGAAAGAACAGAACTAAAAATAACTGTCAAATTAATAAGCGTTGCGCCTCTACTATCAAGCAATATTGTTTACTAACTTACTAGTTAAGTAATAGGAGCTGTTATATGTAAAAACCCTTGGTTAAAACACAGACAGTGGCCAATCCTGTGAAATGCTGTTAATAAGCACCCACTCCCTGCACCTTCACCAGGCATTCTGAGATGTTTCGTCTATGTGGCATTACTTGGAACCCACTTGGGGAAAGTTCCATTCCATAAATCCTGGCAGACAGGCAGGAAGACATACAGGAGTTTGAACTTGTATAGATCGCTTTAGGGGATGGGGGTTGATGGAAAATTTTGATAATCAAGTAAGTGGGTTATTATAAGTCTATCCACAATTTATAAACAACTGGCAGAGTTGAGGGCAGAGAGGAAACAATCCCAAACTGCTCATTCTCTGCAACACCATTATCTTCTTCTTTGGACTTTGTTATTTCAGCCAAAAGTGCCATCATTTTCTTACTAATGCAGCTTCAAGGCCTCATGTGGTTCCATCTGCCTGGGAAGCTTTCCCTAATTTCCTAGGCCCTTGTCTCATCTTCCCTTATTGATCCAGCTCAGGAACCACCTCATCCATGAAGTCCACCCAGCCCTTGGTGATTGTTTCCTAACTTCACAGTCAGTGCTCAGCAGTGTTCTAAAAACTGCAGGTGCTCAAAAGCACTTGACAATGTTGGAAATCGTTACTAAAATCAGGCTGCTGTATGGAAATCAGCGTGCAGGCAGGAGACTCTGTTAACGCAGGGTCTAGTCACCTGATCTTCTTCCCCACACAGCACAGCCTGGGTCTGAGTCCCCTGGTTTATATTTTCAGGGACCAACCAGATCCTTCTTTTCTTTTTTATCCTCACCAGAGGATATTTTTCCACTTTTTGTACAGATAGAGTGGGAGGGAGAGAGAGGAAGGGAGAGAGAGAGAGAGAAACATTGACGTGAAGGGACACATCGAGTGGCTGCCACCCGCACGACCAACCAGGGCCGGGGACAAACTGCAACCGAAGTACGTGCCCTTAGCGGAAACCGTACCCGGGTCTCTCCGGACCGCAGGCCGACGCTCTAACCGCTGAGCCAAACTGGCCAGGGCTAGATCCTTCTTTTCTAGCAGAGAAAATAACCAAATGAGTGGAGAGGGGTGGGGGTGCAAAGCACAGGACTAGAATGAAACAAATCCAGCTCTTTTGTGAGGGGTAGATCTGTGAGCTCAGTATGGGTTAGCCAACCAATTCAGAGGGCATCACAATAAATCATTTGGGCTCAACTAACCCATAGCATTGCTCACTATGTCGGCATGCCACTGCCTTCTGCACCATACCTCTGGCCCTGACTGTGAAACAGGCTGGAACTGGAGGCCTTCTCTTAGGGTCTCCCCAGAAGAGTTTGCCTCCCTGGGCACAGAGATATAAACTACAGAGCCTGTTCCCATCTCTCACTGGTATGATCCCAAGGTAGAATGTTGAGAACATAGGAACAGGACAGCCACAATAATCTAAGGCCTGGGCAGTGAAGAGAGCTAAACTTGTGTCAACATAAGAAACATTCAAACCTGTGAAGAATTTTTGTGAGTTTATTTGAGCCAAACTGTCGACAATTGTCGGAAAGCAAAATCTCAACGGATTGAGATAATGCTCCAGAGAATGGCAGTTTTGCACCTTATTTTATATATTACAATCAGAAGAGGAGACGTAAGTGGGTTACATGAAATGTACTGGTGATAGATTAGAGGCAGGGAAAGAAAAGCAGGGAAACCTTTGGGATTGGATAAAAATTGAAATGACAGACACATACTTCTTTTACATAGGTGGGTATAGGATAGTTAACAGTCAACAATTAACTTAATAACAATGAGGGGATTTGTGGTCTCTACAGAGCGGTGCATGTGCTTTGAGGAGTCCAGAAAGAGGAAAACTACTTTGACATTCCAAAGGTATGTTATTGTAGATGCAAAAAAAACAATATACAGGTTCAGCTAAAGACTGACCTCTGTCAGGGAAGATGCCGGCCTAGGACATGACTACCCACCATATACTGCTTTTAGTTTAAAAGTTTTAATCTCAGACCATCGGTTGTGGTTATTTTAGGTCTCTGACTTTGTAAGGCTGCCATGCAGGCCTCCCCTGAGCTTGTCAGATTTAGTATGTGGCCCCTTTTTGTCTATACTTGTTAAGCAAGAGAAATCAAGATCAAACAAGAACCAGAAGTTAACAGCCAAAGGGTTCTTCAAAGTTGTGGAGAACAGCAAGGAAGATGGCCCAACAGTCCAGCAGAGTAACTAGGAGAGCCATGACCTGTATGGATGGGTGGTAGAGAAGACTAAAAATAGATGAGCAGTAAATGAAGGTGCCTAATAGTGAGGCAGCATTCTAGTTCAGGTTCTGATACCTCACAGTCCTTTCACCATGGTGTGAACCAATCCTGAGCTGCCCTGGTGGGAAGGCTTGTTGAAGATGAGGCCTGCAGAAGCTGGCTGGCAGGATAGTGGATTCTGGGATGAGATACAGGCAGAGGCATTTCCTCACCAGCTTCACACTGGAGATGACTCCATGTTTCAGAACTTGTTACCTTTTTCTTCACACACAAGCTATTTTTTCTAGTTTCTTTGGAAATATCAGAAAGAAAGTCAAGTTTTTGAGGTTTAGGGTCATCCTTCAAAATACCTGATATAATGGTGGCAGAAACTTTTCTCATGTTCAAGTTTTCTTTCAGAATGAGTCTAACAGTTTCTTTATTTAAATTTAACTCTTCAGCCATCATCCTCACTGTTAACTGCCTGTTTGAACAAACCAAATCCTTGACCTTCTGGATATTTTCATCTGTCCGGTGGGTAACTGGACGGCCACTTCGGGCATCATCTCGAACATCTTCCCGTCCTTCTTTAAACCTTTTGTGCCAGTCAAAAACTCTGGCCCTCGACATGACTTCATTCCCATAAGCTTCTTTTAAAAGGTGGTGGGTCTCACTTGCAGACTTGTTCAATTTCACGCAAAATTTTATACTAATCCTTTGTTCTAGATAGCGGTCACTCATTTTGGCACTTAAACAACACAGGAACGTTAACAGGACACGATTGTGAGGCTAAGACAAAGGGACCAATCTCTATACGTCTACAAGTGAAATCAGGTTGTTAGCTATTCTTGATCCTCCGGAAGACTCACCAGGAACGAGTAATTGCTTTTCTGAGTTTTCACTCCTCAGCTTTCAGTCGATGCTGGGGAAGCCCGTTCTGAGAAGCTAACGGGGCCAAAGATTAGCTGTAAAGCTGGGGAAAATGAAACCTCCTACAACCCACGTCTGCGTGCAACTCATGCACACAGATCTGCCGGGAGTGTACAAATCAGTCACCAAAGTCGTCCCGATTCTGCGACCCTTAAAAGTCTATGGCGATTTCTGCAACAGAGGCCTAAGTGGTGGCATCTTAAGCAAGCAAGCAGAGATGCCCCACTGATGTAACGTGCAAGCTCGCCTCAGATCTGCAGAATTCCGCGGACGCCAGACCTACCGTAGAAGCCCTGTCCTTACCACCTCTAGAGTCTCCGGAGATAAGCCCGCATGCGCAATTCCCTTCCTTCGCCGGGTAGGCCTGCGCAAGCGCATTGCGGCAGCCCCACCAGGCCCCGCCTCCACCTCGCCACACCCGGGCAGGCGCGCTTCCTTGCGCGTGCCCGCCTACGGAGAAGTCGGCGGAAAGGAAGGGGCGGGGGAGGAAGACTAAGGGAAGAGAGGGCACCCCCGGGCGCCAGGGTGCATTGTGGGAAGGAGGCAGCAGCGTCCCGGGCGGGCGGGAGGTGCACCAGCGGCGGTGGCGGCGGTAAATCCTCCCGGCCGCTCACAGCACTGTGGAGCCGCGTCCCCAGCTCGGCCTCGGACCGCGGCGCCCCTCCTGCCCCTCGCGGCTTCCCGCCCGCCCGCCCCTCCCCCCGGCGCGCCGGCCCTGCCGAGCCGGCGGGCCGGCCTGGCTCCCCTCCCCGGCCCCGACGGGCGGGCGGGCTGCCCTGAGGAGGCGGGGAGGGGAGCGCTGGGCCGGCCCGCGGGCGGGCGACGATGCCGAACTTCTGCGCTGCCCCGAACTGCACGCGGAAGAGCACGCAGTCGGATCTGGCCTTCTTCAGGTTCCCGCGGGATCCGGCCAGGTAAGCGGCGGGCGCGGGGCTGGCAGTCCGGGCCCAACTCCGCGGTGCGCGCTGCCAGCCCGGGCCCCTGGCAGAGAGGGGTGTGGAGGGCACGGTCGTTGAGCCCGGACCCGGACCCCGGTGCAGAGCGGGCCGCGGGCAGTGGGCGAGCGGGCACCCGGGGATCTCGGAGCACGTGCGCCGGCGGGGATTCGGCGCCGAGGGCACCACCCCAAATAAGAAGCGACTGGGGCGGCGCGCAGGCGGGTAAGGTGGGTTCGCGCCCTGGTTAGCTTGCTGTGTGACTTCGGGCTAGTCGCTTTCTTCTCCGGGCTTTAGTTTCCTCAGCTGTCAAAAGAGGGAGTTGGAGGCTATGGCTGTGGTCACAGGGGCCCTTTCTTCTCCATGTCATCACCCTCGGGACAGTGTTTCTTTTCGGGGTCCGGCCACCTTCTTTGATATCAGGTGAAGTCACAGTTGCTCCCTCCTTCGGGTTGATCCCGGTACAAATTCTGGCTCTGGCCGTTACTCATTATCGCTTGGTTATTGTGGGGAAAACGGGGGTTGGTGGTGAGGGAAGTATGCGTGAAAGCATGGGAATTGGTATGGAAACTTTCTTTGAGGTAACTTGCACGCTCTAGCTTAGCATAGAGACTGTGCTGGAAAGGCTGAGGATTTTTCCTTGGCCCCTCCGATTTAGTCATTTCAAATGAGCACACCTACTGTGTGTGTTAGGTGCTGGAAATTCGCACGTGAATGACTTGCTGCCTGCACATAGCTCACAGTCCACTAAAGAGACGAATGTAATGTAAGCAGGCGATTGTAATATAACACGCATTTTGTTTATTACAAATATTTACTGAAGACCTACTATGTGCTGAGCATTGTTCTGTGCACTGGAAATGTATGGGTGAACATTTCATGGAGTTTACATTCTAGTGAGGGAAAACAAACAAATATATAATGTGTCAAGTGGTGATAAACACACTAGGTTTGTCAAGCCCTGGTTGGTCATGGGGAGGCAACCAATCAGTGTGTCTCTCTCACATGGATGTTTCTCTCCTCCCTCCCTCCCACTCTATCTGAAGATAAATGGAAAAATATCTTTGGGTGAGGATTTAAAAACACACGCTACTATGGAGAAAATTCACATGTTGTGTGGGGTAGGGGAATAAGGAGTAGCAGGGGAGGCACGATTGCTGTTTCACTTATTTAATTTTAAAAATTAGTTGATTTTTAGAGGAGAGGGAGAGAGAAACATTGATGTGAGAGTGTAATATTAATCGGCTGCCTCCTGCAACCTTGGTATGATGCCCAGTCAACAGCCACACCTGCCAGGGCACAATTACTATTTTAAATAGGACAATCATAAAAGGCCTCACTAAGAAGGTGAATTTGAGCAAAGACCAGCTGTAGGTAAGGGGGCTAGCCATGAAGAGCATTTCAGTCTGGGGAAATGGTAAATGCAAAGGCTTGTTAGAGGTACAGCCAGAAGTCCATGGATGGCTAGAGCTGGTTTAAGCAAGGAGGGAGAGGGAGAAGTTGAGACCAGAAAAGTAAGAGAGAGAGAGAGAGAGTGTGTGTGTGTGTGTGTGTGTAGGTGGGCGTGGGTGGCAAGTTGTGTAGGACATTTTATTCTGAGTGGGATAGGAAGTCATCAAACAGTATAGACAGAGACTTATATTTGAAACAGGATCACTGCTTGTTTGTTAAATAGATTGTAGGGAAGCAAAGGTGAGAGCAGAAGACCAGTTAATGGCAGTTGCAATGATTCAGGTTACTAGGTTAGCAGAGGAGGAGGTGGTAAGTTGTTGCATTTGAGGTACGTTTTGAAGATTAACCAATCGTTAATGGTTTAGATGTATGTTGTAAGAGAAAAAGAAGAGTCAAGAGTGACTCTAAGATTTTTAATTGGAGCTCTAACTGAGCTATGGAAGGCTGGGAGGAGCAGGTTTGGTGAGGGAATATTAAAGGTTTGGTTCGAGACCTGATAGACATTCAAGAATAGATGCCTTTCTTCTTGACCATATCCAGAAATAAACTCAAAATGTCCCATATTTAGATCAATGACCTAAATATTTAGGACCTAAAACCATAAACAGATATATAAGCCTGAGATTTAGAGACTTCCAGACTGGAGATTGTAAGTATGGGTGTTCTTAGTTTATAGAGGGTATTTAAAGCCATGGTGTCAGTTAAATAGAGTAAGTCTGAGGTTTTCACCCTGGAGCGTTCCTAATGTTTACAAGTTCAGGGAGATGAGGAGGAACTAGCTCAGGAGAGCGAGAAATAGTTTTTGGGTTCTATGGGAGCAGAGAAGAGGAGCACCTTAATCTGACTGGGCCTTACCTCAATAAGCATTATCTTCATTTTACCTAAATTTTACCTCAAGGGCATTTTTGGGAGAATCTTTCACTTGCCTAATGAGGGCACTGCTAGTCAGTTCTGGACCACAGGTCATTTGTGTCCAGGTGTAGTTGAATGCTCTCTTTTTTTAAAAAAATGTTTTTATTGATTTTTTTTTAGAGAGAGAGAAAGAAACATCAATGTGAGAGAAACATGGATGGCCTGCCTCCTCCAACCTGGGCAACCAGGACCTCTCAGTCCATGGGACGATGCTCAATCCACTGAGCCACACTGGCTGGGCTGAATGCTCTTTTCTGCTCTTTTCATTACACTCCTTAATGGGGAGTATGGCATGTAAGGGTTTACAGTCTCAGATTTGGAAGGTGTTTTTAGATCTAGTTCAGTGTCCCTTGAAATGCTAGAATGTCCTCAATTGTAGTAGCTTTTTAACCTTTTTTGGGTCACTGTCCCCTTTGAGAATCAACATAAGGACTCTTGAGGAAAAAATACTTTTGCATTCTACTCTCAAGGTATTTATGAACCCTTTAGGGGCCCTGTATATTCCTAACAGGTGGGCCTTTGCTTTAAAAAGCCACCATTAATGGTTCTCTGCTTTGTTAGGGGACTTTTGAGAATTCTGGACAGCTTCGGTTGTTGTTTCTTTCTTCTTTTGAGGAAATATATGCCTCCCTATAATTTATGATTCGGAGGTCCTAGTTTTGTCCTCAGGGTCACACTGAGCTAGTCTGTACCCTTTTCATGTAACTAATCCTTTGAGTATTTCAAGACAAAATTATGAACAATTCAGAAAACATTTTTATTGAGATATAATTCAGTGGTTTTCATTATGCTGTATTACATCATAAATTTTTAAAAATTTTGGTAAAATATACATAACATAAAATTTGCCATTTTAATTATTTTAGGTGTATAAGTCAGTGGCATTAATTACATTCACAATGTTGCAATGTTGTGTGACCATCACCACTATGTATTTCCAAAGCATTTTCATTACACCAAGCAAAGACTATGTAACCGTTAAGCAATAACTCCCTCCCTCCCTCTATTCTTTCTGATCTACTTTTGGTCTTCATGAGTTTGTTCTATGTATTTCATATACGTGGAATGATGCAATAATTGTCCTTTTATGTCCGGTTTATTTTACTTAACATATTGTATTCAAGGTCTTAACTTTTTATCCAAACCAAATCTCCTCATATTATAGGATTTTAAAATTCTGCTGTATTTGACAGTTTGTTTTTTTACTGTGCCCAGAGTTAATTATAATAAAGAAGTAGTTTCCAGAGATGTTTATTGAACTAATAACAGTATTTTTAGGGTTATTAGTTATAATTAGTTATAGAGTTGTAGGGAAGGTTGATAAAAGGTGACATAAGATAGCATTGCTAACCTATATATTCTTCAAAAGTTAACTAACATTTTAAACTAACAATAAAGGTAAATATATTGATGCTATTAAATAGTACATTTCCCATTTGTCATATTTACAAATTTTATACACTCTTTTAGAAACAGCTATTTAGAAGTAATTTAAATTCAAGAGTATAATATAGTTAAGAGTATAATAAAGGACACAATGTGGAATCTCATACTATAATAGCTCTTACTGGTTTAGAAAAAGTAGCATTAATGTGCTCTTTCTTTTAATATAAAGTGATAGAATGGCGGCAGGGTGATCATAGATTACCTAAAATTAAAGTAAAAAAAAAAAAAATGCCCAAATTTTGATCGCTTCAGAATGGCTTGACTCCTGTCAAGGCTTGGCAGGAGCCTAGGGGGTCATTCACAAGTGGCTCATTCTCATACCAGGTGAGAAGGTGCAAGTAGACCTTGAATGGCTCCTGTTATAGTAAGTTGGGCAATTGAAGACCTCTTCTCCTCCTCGGGCATTTAGCACTAACTCACCCCTGAAAAGGTGAGGTCTTCCAAGATTCTTTTAGCAATTTAACTAAAGGTGATTGAGAGTTGTAAAATGTTAAACAGTGGTTTTTTTAGGCACTCATGAGTGTCCCCAAGACCCTTTCAAAGAATCCACAAGGTAAAAACTATTTTTATAGTAACACTCTGATATTATTTGCTTTTTTTCATGCTCATTCTCTCAAAAGTATACAGTAGAGTATTTAAGGCGCTATATACTATATAATAATATCATTGCTCTGATAAGTGTTTTGTGTTTTCTAAAATTTTCTAAGTATGATTGATTATTCAGATGCAGGTGTTTAGTAGACATTTTCTTGGAAGTTAATGAAACAAGCCTCCCATTCCAAGGAAAACAACTGACATTGAACATTCAAGCAAAAATTAGAAATTTGGAAAATATATATGTAACATCTTGAACTTACTAGCTCTCTAATACTTGGACTATTCTGATGAGATCAGTGGTGATATTGATAGCTGTGACTTTTTAAATATATTATATAATGAGTTATCATTTAAACGGTCTGTAACTCACTGAACTGAAATTTTCCAAATTGACCAATTCATGATTTTATAAAGACATGCATGGATAAAAACTCTCCAAAAGAGATAGACCAGTGGACTTTACTGTAACCACTAGAGTGTAAAAAAGCTCATTTGTCCAGTTTCAGATTCCACATTGCAACTTATGTTTAAGAAAGGTTTTTGGTGTAGTATAAAAGAAGAACATTTACAATTTTGTGGAAAAGGGGGGATATTTTATTTTATTTATTTATTTATTTATTTATTTATTTTTTATTTTTTTGGAAGTTGTTCATTATTAATTTATTAAAAAATCAATTTGCCCTGACACATGATTTTTCTCCAGCTCTCTGTATGTAAGTTACAAAAAGAAAAGAGTGAGAGATGACAAAAGAGAGAAAATACAATTAGTAGTTTATATCTATATCAATCTATCGATAGTTGGGTATAATATGTATGATTTTCAACCTCAACAGTTATAAAAATTCAAAGAAATGGAACATGAGGTTTTAGTTTAATTTAGCAAAATCAAAAAGTATATAGACTACTTTATGTTGACAATGTTCTTTGCAATATAATTTGGTTTTATCTTTTTTTTTTACAGCTTTTTTTTTTTATTAATTAATTTTTGTTACAGATGTTTCCTCCTTTCCCCCCACTGATTCCCCCTCCCCCTCCCTCCCTGCCCTTTCCCCAGTTTGTTGTCCATGTCCACTGTTCATGCATACATGCATATAAGTTCTGTGGTTTATCTCTCCCCCACCACCCCCTCTTCTGGGGATTGTCAGTCTGTAAGGGGGGGATATTTTAATAATCTTTTGAGCTGCATGTCAGCGTGATGCCATATTTTCTGTATATATTCAACCAAAACAACATGGCAGCTGATGAAATATAAAAGCAGATGTGAGAATCTAGCTATCTTCTATTAAGCTAGACATTGAAGAGTTTTGGAGAGATGTAAAACATTGCCATTGTTTTCACTCAAGTAAACATTTTCAGTAAATGTTTTTTATTTGTTTTGGAAAATATAGTTATTTTTCATTAAAATGTTATCTATGTTAATGTAATAGGATTACTGTTTTTAGAATTAATAAATAATAAGTTTTTTCAGTTTTAATTTCTATAATAATAAGTGTTGATAGAGAAAACCCACATAAACATAAAAGCTCTTTGGGTCCTCAATAATTTAAGACAGTAAAAGGGTCCTGAGACTATGAAGTTTGAGAATTGCTTCTATAAAGTAATGATCTTAAGTACTTTATATCATTTAATTCTTCAAACAATGCTGTGAGTTGTAATAATAATAATAATACTTTTTTCTTTTAATCCTCACTCGAGGATACTTTTTCTTCAAAGTGGAAGGGAAACAGGGAGGAAGAGAGAGAGAGAGACAGACAGACACACACACACACACACACACACACACACATTGACTGGTTGTCCCTGCACAACTCCGACCATGGCCAGGGACGAACTGCAACCAAGGTACGTGCCCTTGACCTGAATCAAACCCACGACTCACTGGTCCGGCAGCGATGTTCCAACTGCTGAGGCAAACCGGCCAGGGCCACTTTTGATTCTTGTATGTGACTGACCAGGGATCAAACCCACAACTTTGACATATCCATAGACAATGCTCTAACCAACTGAGCTACTTGGCCAGTTTTATGTCAGTGTAGGAAACTATTTAGCAGCCAAGTTTCCAGACACTAGCCAAAAGGCCAACCTTATAAACCAGCCTTTCTAAGGAGCAATCTTAGGCCTGCTCTGTTAAGCTCCTTTTCCGTACAATCACCATAGCAATTACTTAACATTTCTGTGCCTTCATTTCTTCATCTGCAAAAAGTGGATAATAATAGTTTGGAAAGGACTAAGAACAATGTCTGGCTCATAATAAGTGCTTATTATTTGTTTTTCTGCAGATATTTAAGCACCACGAGGGCATGGACCTTGTCTTGTTCACTATATTCAACACCTTCTGTGTACTAGATTGTGTAGACACAATCCCTGCATTCATGGAGCTTTAAATCTAGTCTGTACATATCATTGTAAATAATAAGTCATGTTTGTAATAAGACTGTCATGCTTCCATAAGAAACTCTAGTTAATTTATAGAACATTTACTTACTCATTTTCTACAATGACAGTGTTGCTTTATTTTTTATTTTTTTATCCTCACCCGAGGACATTTTTCCATTTTTTGTTCAGATAGAGCGGGGGGGAGAGAGAGGAAGAGAGAGAGAGAGAGAAACATCGATGGGAAGGGACACATCGAGTGGCTGCCACCCGCACGACCAACCAGGGCCGGGAACAAACTGCAACCGAGGTACGTGCCCTTAGCGGGAACCGAACCCTGGTCTCTCTGTGCCGCAGGCCTACGCTCCAACCGCTGAGCCAAACCGGCCAGGGCTACAATGACAGTGTTGCTTTATATGCTTGTTTAAGTTGAAGTCCTAAGGGGAATGTTAGGCTGTTCACCTCATGGTTGTGCAACTTTTTACTTGTACTGCTGGTGATTGAGTCCTCTCTAATGCTTGGAGTCCTAGGATTTGAAAGATTCAGGTTTAAGTTCTAATTATGCTGCTGATTTTGTTCATGACTCTGAGCAAGTTACTTCTTAGTCTTGTCTGAATGTACTAAATGATATCTAGGGTTTCTTCTAGTTCTATTTTGTTATTAACTCCTGGTTCTGTGGGTAGAGGGGAATCCATGGTCCATAATATTATTTGCCTTGAAAATAATTGCTGAAATTTAAATGTTGAGCTCATCTTCCATAATTGTATTTTGGTTTTATTTATAGATGCCAGAAGTGGGTAGAAAACTGTAGAAGAGCAGACTTAGAAGACAAAACACCCGATCAACTAAATAAACATTATCGATTATGTGCTAAACACTTTGAGACCTCTATGATCTGTAGAACTGTAAGTAATAGACGGGCTTGGTTTTTTCATGTTTTTTGTTTTCTCTCTCACTCAATATCTGGTCAGAAGTGTAACTCTCTCTCTATTAATGTTGGGAGGGTATCCTTATATCTCACTACAATTTTTTTTTTTAAGATGAAGACAGATTTGGAGCTGAATAGTATCTACTTTGTTCTTAGAAACCTATTGGTGTTTTTTTTTTTACACACACACCCACCCCTGTCTCTGATGCCCCATTCCTACTCACCAGAAGTAACCACTTTTAAATTTCCTGTGTAGCCTTCAGAAAATTTTAGACTATTATGAAAATGTGTATTTATATTAGGTAAAGTTGTTTTTATTTGGAGCAGTTTCTCTAGAGCTTTTTATGAGTGAAATCTTCGAGGAATGGAGCTCTTTATTTTCATGTTTTTGTTTTTGTATGTACTGTTAGAACCAACCCTCAATTTTTACATGCTAGATACAATAGGAAGCAGATCATACAGTTAATGTAAAAAACATTTCCATCAGTAATTTGCAATTTTATATCAAGATCTGGAACTCTCTTTCTACTGTTAACTGCATTTGACCAAGTCTCTTTCCCCCTTGGGCCCCAATTTCTAATGAGATTAGACATGATCATTCCTGAGGGCTAAGATTTTTAACCTTCTGTTTTTTGTTATTGCTAGTATTCATAAAAGGTACACATTGGGCAGATTTGATTGAAATGAAGCAGACATGAAACACTAAAAACTAGTTAGGAAGACAGTTTTGTTAAATAATACATATATTCTTGTTTAGGTATAGCTAATATATCATCCCAGATATTGGGATAGACATAAACTTGATTTGAAGATGCGCTATATATTGTTATGCAGCAATTTATTTTGATATTTTTTTCAGATACATTTTGCAGAGGCATCAGAAAACTAAAGAATGATTGGGTTATTTTATTTCTCAAAATTATTTGAAGCAGATACTTGTGAAGTCATTGGGAGGTGAGCCAATTCCGGTTCAACAGTTTAATCACAAATATTTGAGGGATGATTTTGCCTTGCTTTGTTAAGAGGGTAATGATCAAACAAAATAAGAGATTTCCTATGTTAAAAGGCAAACTATTTTTATGTTTTTGACAATCAATAAAACTATCCCAAATTATTATTTTAAATACACAAGTCATACGCATTTTTATATTAATAAATATGGTCTCTTAATTAGATAATTCCAACAAGATTAATATGAGAAATTTAATATATAGTTCACTTCATATTCTCATTTAGTCAGACAATAGACTTTTGCTTTTTAAATTGAGTCTTCAATCTCGAGTAAATTAACGCAAATGTGAGAAAACGTTTTTCTACTCATGTAAAAGACATTGCTATTAAAAACTGGATTACCTGATATCTGTATTCAAATGTTTAAGAGTATTGACTTCATTAAATTTAAAAATCTCATCAGTAAACATTTGTGGCTAGTTCATCCAAAGCCAAGTGTTATCTTTAATGCTAGAGTAAGATCATTGCTTTATGCTTAAATCTTAATTCAGCAGTTAAAAATTAAATCTCAGTACCGAATTAAAATGATCATGCACATGAATTGAATATAGCCCTTTTGGCATGCATACTTATAAGTAATATTTATAAAAAGTTGCATGTTTTTCATTCATATATTTTATTTTCTGGTTTGTAATATTTTTGATACCAAGTTAATTTGATTTGAATTTTTAAATTTTATTAGAATGTTTTATCCCTCCTCTCCTTATTTCATAATTGGTAGAAAACCAAAAGTTGACTGTGTATGTTTGTGTGTTTGGTTTTTGAGATGATTGCTAAGTGGGAAAGAGGATGCTTTGAGAATTATATAGTTTTTGCTCCCTTCAGTGATTGTGTCCTGAATCAATACCTGACTCGAGACTCCCTAGTAGAGTCAGGATAATTGGCTCAGCATTAGAAGCTGGGTGCCATTAGGAAACAGATTTTCGTGGTGCTCTCCCTCTCAGGAGCATGCCTGCCTTTCATCTCCTCTTCCTCTCATGAGTGTTACCTTTGCCTTTCTCTCTCCTAAGCTCCAAAGGCCCTTCTTTTGTTTCTGTAACTTGTTTCCTGAGCCTGAGCAGCCCAGCTGGCTCACTTCTACTACCTCTGTAACTATATATAAATAAACTTACCAAAAAAAAGAAAGCGGTTTTCTTCTTTGTGTTTTCTATGAGGCATGAGATTGAACTAGAAAATATTGAATCTGAATAAAAATTCTTCCCAGATGTGTTTAACAACTCTTTGGACAAAACCTAAGGTAGTGTGTTTTCTTTAGTTACATGGAGTTGACCCTTGAACAACACAGAGGTTAGGGGTGCTGACGCTCTATGAAGTTGAAAATCTTGTGTATAACTTTGACTCTTTGAAAACTTAACCACTCATAGCCTACTGTTGACCGGGAATCCTTTCTGATAACATAAATAGTCAATTAACACGTATTTTGTGTGCTATATGTATAAAGTAAGCTAGAGAAAAGAAAATGTTAAAATCATAACAAAGAGAAAATATCTTTACAATATTTATTGAAAAAAATCCACATGTAAGTGTACCTGTGCAGTTTAATCCAGTGTTTTTCAAGGGTAAACTGTATTTTTTCTTTATATCTTCCTAACCTTCCTTCCCTGGGTGAAAAAGATATAGGTGTTATTTTTGTTTGGCATATATTTTGACCAGTCTTGAATAGTCAGTTTTGAAACAATCACTGCTCCAAAGCTTTTAAAAATGAAGTGTCTTTATCATTACAAATTCGGACAGAAATTAACAGCACTACTTCTGTGGACAAGCTGGATGGGGGGAATGTAGTAGCTATTATTTATCTGCTACTCTACCATTGTACCATTATTTTGTAGTTTATTGCTTAATACAGTGTTCACTAAAAAAGTGAGTGGATTGTGTATAAGTACAGATGGCATAACTGAAATGGCGAGCATTGTGATCAGTGTCTGAATAATTTCATTTTTGGGAAATGTTGATCTAGTTGAGTACCTGAATTTTATTCAGAAGAGGAACTGAGGTCCAAAAAGGGAAAGTATATTACCAGGGTCTTATAGTGAGTCACTAGTAGAGTTTGGACTAGTTTCTGGGTCTTGTGGGTTCTAGTCCAATGTTATTTTATTGTGCCTTGATGCTTCTCAGAAATAGTAGCAAAAGTGGACTGAACAGCAGGTAAAGGAGGGAAGAATTATTATAGAACGTGTAAGAGGATAGATTATTTGAGAAACTTTTGTGCCTGCTGTAGATTTGGTGGGCTCAAGGGCAGAATAGATAAAGTAGCTGGGGATCTGAATTAGAAATATATATGCAAAATGCAAATACATTTTATTTTTTATGCTTATCATTAGTTCGGTTCCTTAATTTATAATAGTAAGGTTGCCAAAAGTGCAAATACAAAAAGAGTTAGAAATAATAAGCTGATATGGATTGATATAAGCAATTCTTCAAGTTTCTATACTGTAGAGCTGGAGTTGAAGGTGTACTGAGGAAATCATTAACATAGAATTTTATTTATGTGTAATACATTCTTAAGGACTAGTTCTGAATTAACACATTTTTCTTTTTCAGAGTCCTTATAGGACAGTTCTTCGAGATAATGCAATACCAACAATATTTGATCTTACCAGTCATTTGAACAATCCACATAGTAGACACAGAAAACGAATTAAAGAATTGGTATGTCAATGTGCTTTCAGCTTTCCCATCCCCCAGTATTCTATGAAATCAAATATAGGTGTATTCGTGTTAAAATTGAACCAAGTTACTCTCTATATTTCAAAGGTACTTGTATGAGAAATGAATGCTATGGTTATGAAGTAGTCAGGAGGTAAAATGTTTAGTTGTATTTAATTTGGAAGATTTCTCTCAAATTTAGCCAATTGATACTCATTTACTTGAGCTAAAATGAACTGTTAATTATAGGCCGCTAGCTCCTTCCCTTCTTGGGAAGTAAAAAACAAACAAACGAAAAAACCACTACCTTTTCTTTTATAGTAAGGAAGGTGGAACTGAGGTATATTTTCAGAATTCACAAATGGATACAGAAAGGGAAAGTATAAAAGTTAAGACATGGATAGTTTTACCTAGAGATAGGATTCTATTGCTATTAAGTACTGACAAGGTTTATGTAGAAAAAGCTTTTACATCTCTGTACATGGAATCATTATTGCATGTTTTTATAATCTTTTGATATACTTTAATTCTGATGGTTGAAACCTACCTGCTTTTTGTTGACCTTGGGCCAACAAAATTAAATTACTCAGACTTCTCAGCCCATGGCTTTCTCTGATCATTACTGCCAGCAAGACCCTTATTTTGTTTATTTTTCCTTTTTCCACTATTACTATTCCTCCCCTCCCTGTTAGTATGCATGTTGATGTTAGTATGCATGTTGGTGTCTTTAATATATGTCATTTCACTCTACCTATTATGTGCTTTTTTAAAGATAGCATTTAGGTAATTTTCCTTTATATTTCCTTTTATATTTAGATCTCTAATCCGTTTGGAGTTGTATGTATGGTGTCCAGGCAAGATTTAATTTTATTTTTCTCCTTAGAAAGATCAGTTTTCCCAAGATGGACCGTTAATCTATCTTTTCTTCCACTGGCATAATGTGTCACCTCTATATAAGTTTACGTATATGGAGGCCTGTTTCTGGGAGCTCTGTTCTGCCTTGTTGGAATATTTTTTTGTTAGCAGCTATACCACACTGATTTTATTTCTATGGCTTTATAATATAGCTTAGTTGCAAATGGAGCACTTTCTTAACTCTCCTTTTTCAGAATTGTGGTTTCAGCCATAAATAGGATAAAAACACAATAAAATGGCTGTCAAGTAATACTAATCTTGATAAAACTAAATACTAGTTCTTTGAAGAGACTTAAAATAGTTTTAGGAATGTAGACAGTCAGAATTATGAAAAAAATTCAGGGATTTTGTTGCAGTTCTTTAAAAGAAAACATATACGTTCTTCCTTAGATTACTTTCTAAATACAGTATGGTTTTTGTTGGTATTGATTATGTATTCTGGATGAGGTTGTTTTCAGCGATTTTGAAGACCCTTTAATATTAATCCTAATAGTCGATTGAGTTTTCTGTATCGTTGATTATAGTAGCTACAAATAAGGACAAATTTGCTTTTTGTTCCAGTTCTTATAATTTTAATTTTTTCTGTTGTCTGTGTTATTGTTTTGAGTATCCCTACTGTTATGTTCAACAGTCCCAGTAATGTCACAGCTGGTAATTTGCCTTGTTCCATTAAGTCTGATGTTTTCTGCTATTACTGTTCAGAGAGTTTTTGTCAAGCTAAGAAAAATTCCCTTCCTTCCTTTCTAGTACTCATATTCAGAGTTTTTGTTATACCTTGTTGAATTTATTTATTTATTTATTTATTTATTTTTTATCCTCACCCGAGGACATTTTTCCATTTTTTGTTCAGATAGAGTGGGAGGAAGAGAGAGAGAGAGAAACATCTACGTGAAGGGACACATCGAGTGGCTGCCACCCGCACGACCAACCAGGGCTGGGGACAAACTGCAACCGAGGTACGTGCCCTTAGCGGGAACCGAACCCAGGTCTTTCTGTACCGCAGGCCGACGCTCCAACCGCTGAGCCAAACCGGCCAGGGCACCTTGTTGAATTTATTAAATGCTTTCATTGCATCTGTTGAGTAGAAGGATTCACAATATTTTTTCCACTCTTTAATGTGGTGAATAACATTGATGGGTTTTCTGACATTGACCCATTTTTACATTCCCATGATGAACCCTAATTGATTATTTTTATACAGTATTGAAATCTGTTGGTCAGTATTCTATGTAGGATTTTGCATTTATCACTGTTGGCCTAAAATTTCTTTTTATGCACTCTTTTTATCCAGCTATGACATCAAGGTTCTATTAACCTCATAAAATGAGTGGGATAGCTTTCCCTTTTTCTCTCTCTCTTAATTTTTCTAGTAAAACTTGTATAAAGTAGATACTATCTGGTCTTGAAAGTTAGATTGAACATGGTAAAAACATCAGAGGGCTTGGGTGAGTGAGGAAATATTTGATTGCCATTTCAGTATATTTATTGGTTTTTTCTTTCTTCTATGTGTTTTATATGTTTCCAAGTTTATGAACTTCATCTAGGATTTGGAAAGTTTGCTTTTCTCTGCTGTTAAAATTATTTTAAGCCCTGGCTGGTTTGGCTCAGCGGTGAGAGCATCGGTCCCAGGACCAAAGAGTCGCCGGTTCGAGTCCAGTGAAGGGCACGTACCTCAGTTGCAGTTCCATCCCAGTCCCTGGTTGGGGTCCTGCAGGAGGCAACCAGTCGAGTTTCTCTCTCCTTCCTTCCCCTCCTTCCTCCTTACCTCGTTCCCTCCCTCACACTCTATCTGAAGATAAACGGAAAAATATTCCTTGGGTGAGGATTTAATAAAAAAAGGAAATCATTTTAATAGTCTTGTTAAAGAAATAGTGGTTAGTTTTATCAATGATGGCAGTATTCGGAAGCTATTTTATTGATTTCTTCTTGAGTTGACAGATTTACTTTTAGGCTCTTTTTCTAGCTTCTTGAAGGTATAGTTCATATTTATGTATATTCAAAATTATAAATGTCTCTTTAAGTATGTTTTTGCTATATTTTACACTTTTAACATGTAGTGCTTTCATTGATCAGCTATGAGTATTTTGTAATTTCCCCTATTTCTTTATCATAAGATTATTCTTGTTTTTAGTTTCCAGACATGGATTTATTTTTAAAAACCATTTTGTATTTTTTATTTCAAATGTTATTAAGTGATACATAAAGGATACATATAGTTTATGTGATGATGATTCTAGTTTTTGTTTTGTTTTGTTTTTTTGCATTAATGATTGCTATTGAAATCTGTTGCCAGCCTGATTATTATTTATTTTTAGGTGGCTGCCTTAGTGTTTTGTGTTTTTTGTTTTTTAAGTTTTGCTGAACTACATCTAGATGTGGGGCATTTTTCTTACCCAGACTTAAACATTTTTAAGTTTTGAGGAATCCTCAGCTTTTGTTTCTTCATGCATTTTTCTTTTTTTAAGTTCTTAGTTTATTAATCCTCTCATGAAGAATCATTACTTCTTTTTGCCAGCACCAGCATTGGCCTTGCAGTCCCCCTGACTTTCTTCATTCGTTTCTTACGTTCCTTCCTCTGTTTTCTTTAGTCGTCTCTTCTTCTCATATAGGCATGTCTTGCAAGTCTGTGTTTGGGTTCATTTTTCTTTGCATGATCCAAGGAATCATAAATCATGCCCAAGCCATTTGTCTTTCCACCACCAAAATGGGTTCTGAATCCAAACAGAAAGATGACATCTGGTTTGGTCTTATACATTTTGGCTAGTATTTCCCAAATTTCTGTCTTGCCTTCCCAGGGTGAAGGATGTCAATGACCATTTGTTTCCATTGAAGTAATCTGTTAGTCATGAACTTCCTGGTTCAGATAGTTACTGTGTCATTCATGATGGAAGCTGATCTTCTTCTTCATGCATTTTTTAAAAAATTTTTCTTTATTGATGTTAGAGAGAGGAAGGAAGAGGAAGAGAGAAACATCAATGAGAGAGAACATCAATTAGCCACCTCCTGCATGCCTCCCCACTGGATATTGGGCCCACAACCTGAACAACGCTCAAACAACTGAGTCACACCAGATGGGCCTTTTTATGCATTTCTTTTTTTTTTTTTATCCTCACCCGAGGACATTCTTCCATCTTTTGTACAGACAGAGTGGGAGGGAGAGAGAAGAAGAGAGAGAGAGGGGAACATCGACGTGAAAGGGACACATCGAGTGGCTGCCACCTGCGCGACCAACCAGGGCCAGGGACTAACTGCAACCAAGGCACATGCCCCTAGCGGGAACCGAATCTGGGTCTCTCTGGACCGCAGGCGGACCCTCTAACCGCTAAGCCAAACCGGCCAGGGTTGCATTTCTTTACCTCAATTATATTTATTTGGTTTTTTTTGTGCCTTTCTTAGATGAATGCTGACACTATACAACAGTCCTCTAAATCAGCTTTCTTCTTAGTAATGTGTACCAGGGGTGAGGAGCTCAACACTTTCCAACCTGTAGCTATTATTTCTCTGTACTCTGACCCCCAGGGGACTTCAAACCAGCAGGCACACTGTTCCAGATCTGCCATCCTTATAACTATACAGCCCACAGGATAAGGAGGGATAGTTTCAGGTTGGCTAGCCTGCTGACATTTTTTCATCTCAGTATCATGTTCCATGCTGCCCAGCAAGTCCCCTGCTCTCTCCAGCTATCACTAGTACTGCTGCTTTTCTACTCTGGAATAGTAATGGGGTGGGTTGCAATCTAATCATCCTAGTGGGTTAAAGGGAGAGAAAAGGACACAACTAGGAACGTCTTCCTCAGTCTAACCCTGTTTGTTCCACTTGGTCATCTATGTTGTATGCATTCATTTCTTTTCCATACTGGCATTATGTCACTTTCTGCTTCCCAAGGATTTCTCATAGCCTTTATGTTAGGTTCTGGAATCCAGCAATTCTTACATATCATCCCCCTGGGTTAGAGTGGCAGGGGGTGAAGGGCATGATTTGTGTCCCCTTGGATTTGATCTCAAGTGCTGTGGTATACTGTCATTAGCTCGTAAACACTTACAACCCAAACTTATGATGATTTAGGCATAAAGTAAGTTAATGATATATTCTTTCCCCTCTAGTTTTTTATTATAAGCTTGGAATCGTTAGCAATTTTTTTTGGTTTTCTCTTCATCTCTCTATTTGAAGAATGTATTTTTATAAAGAATTTATATTCTTGAAATAATTAAATTTGACTCCAAATATGCTTTTTACTTGTGAGTCTACATGATATACTAAAGTTCAATTTTCTTTAAGATGATTTTTCTTTTATTTGTCATTTAGAGTGAAGATGAAATCAGGACACTGAAACAGAAAAAAAGTAAGTGCTAGTGTTAATGACTTTTGAATGCCTTTTTAAAGGGCCTTGACCTAGTAAGGACAAATAAATATGTTTTATGTCCAAAACCTACTGTGAGAATGATGTAGTAAGAGTGTGTTAGGCATTGTCCTGTGGTTTGGAATTGTCTGCAACTAAAACCTTAGTTCAGTTTGTTTTTATTGAATGCCAATATGCCATACACTTTGCCCACTAGGTGCTCTCAGAGTGGTGGGGATGGCAGGCACACAGAGTATTCCAGTATAGAAAAGGAAAGGCAGCAGTAAGGACAGAAGCAGAATCTCTGTCAATCCAACATGAAGTGCATAAAATAGGTTCTTGGTAACTGTTTAAGGAATAAATGCTGTGGGGATATTTAGCCTTATAGAGGGTAGGAGTCCAATAGCCTTTCTGCAGGTACTGATGCCTGAGGTCTGTCACTAAAGGATGAGGACTAGAAGTTGTTTTTGTTCTTACTGGGTATTACTATTCCTCCTCATCCTCCCCCTATTATTAGTATTATTATTATTACTAACTAAGCTTTTTATTTAGTGCTTACTGTGTGTCAGGTCATTATTCTAAATGCCTTACTTATATCAATTCATTTAATTTTTACAGTAGCCCTGAAGTAGGTGTATTTTTCCCCCTTTGTAGGTCAGGAGACATGAACTCAGGCAAAGAAAGAGGGGAGGATATTCTGTGCAGAAATAGAGGGACTTGAAACGGGGCGTTAGATTTGAGGCACTACATTCATTTTGTTGTTGGAGTTTCTAATAAACCTATGATGGTTAGAAATGAACCCAGAGGGGACCCCAGGGGCCAGGACTTGCAGGTTTGTGTGTATGACTGTGGGCAGGACACTTAACTGCAGGGCCATCCAAATATGAAGAGATAAGGCTGAGATTTCTGAACTATTTTTTTTTTTTTATCCTCATCCGAGGATATATATTTTCATTTTTTGTTCAGATAGAGCAGGAGGGAGAGAGAGGAAGAGAGAGAGAGAAACATCAATGTGAAAGAGACACATCGAGTGGCTGCCACCCGCACGACCCAACCAGGGTCGGGGACAAACTGCAACGGAGGCACATGCCCTTAGCGGGAACCGAACCCGGGTCTCTCTGGACCGCAGGTCGACACTCTAACCGCTGAGCCAAACTGGCCAGGGCTGAGATTTCTAATCTATTATTAACCCTGAAAATTACATGAATATACTTTATATTAGTTATTATAGATGTCTCATCTTCCATATAAAAGTATAGCTTAATGATTTGATAAAAACAGCATTACATGGACCTTGGAACAAGACACGCCTGAATTTAAACTTCACCTCTTTTTTTTAAAAATCCTCATCCAAGGATATATTTTTATTGATTTTGGAGAGAGTAAGAGGTGGGGGAGAGACAGAAATATCAATGTGTGAGAGAAATGTTGAACAGTTGCCTCCTGTATGCGCCCTGCCTGGGGATGGAACCTGCAACCTGGGTATGTATCCCACCTAGAAATCACTCCTGCAGCCTTTTGGTGTATAGATGACGCTCCAACCAATTGACCCACCCTGCCAGGGTTCACCTCCATATTTCTAACTGCATCTATGACCTTGAGCTGTTATTGACTGGCATTTGTCAAATGGGGTTGATACCATCTGCCTATAGAGGGAGTAATAGGATACATACAGAATGTCAACATAGTACCTCACAAATATTAGTTCTTTTTCTCTTCCTTTTTGTGAGGGCATGGACTGTCTTATTACTTTATATGTGATGTACCTTGTTAAGTTCATTGTTCCTCTGTTTCAACAGCTTTTACATTGGATTAAAATATATCTATTGAGCCTAGCTGCTGTCGCTCAGTGGTTGAGCATCGACTCGTGCCAGTTCAGTTCCCAGTCAGGGCACATTCCCAGGTTGTGGGCTCAGTCCCCAGTGGGAGGCATGCAAGAGGCGGCCAATTAATGTTCTCTCTCATCGATGTTTTTATCTCTCTCCATCTTTCTCTCTAATATCAATAAAGAAAAATATATATATATACATCTTTCTATTCACAGTGTTTGTCTTTCATACTGGAGTGTGTCTTATTTTCATCTCTACCCTAGTCTTGTCCAGTAAGTGCTCTGTGAATGGTGAATAAACGAGTTGGTGGATTTTAAATATTTAATCAATCAAGAATGTATGTTTTGCCCTGGCTAGTTTGGCTGAGAGGTTAAAGCGTTGGCTGGCAGACCAATGTGTCACGGGTTTGATTCCGATCAAGGGCACATACCTCAGTTGCGGTTCATCCCCAGCCCTGGTCAGGGCTGTGTGGGAGGCAACCAGTCGATGTGGCTCTATCACATCAATGTTTCTCTCTGTCTGTCTCTCTTCCTCCCTTCCACTCTATCTGATGATGAATAGAAAAGTATTCTGAGGTGAGGAATTTAAAAAAAAAAAGAATCTTTTTTTTTATATGTTTGGATCCTCATAAACCTGTTTATAAAATTAATTCTTTGTTTTCCAGTTGATGAAACTTCTGAACAGGAACAAAAACATAAAGAAGTCAACAACAGCAATGCTCAGAATCCCAGTGCAGAAGAAGGAGGTGAAGAACAGGATGAAGACATTTTACCTTTAACCCTTGAAGAGAAGGAAAACAAAGAATACTTAAAATCTTTATTTGAAATTTTGATTCTTATGGGAAAACAAAACATACCTCTGGATGGACATGAAGCTGACGAAATCCCAGAAGGTCTCTTTACTCCTGATAACTTTCAAGCGCTACTGGAATGCCGGATAAATTCTGGTGAAGAAGTTCTGAGAAAGCGCTTTGAGACAACAGCAGTCAACACATTGTTCTGTTCAAAAACACAACAGAAACAGATGCTTGAGATCTGTGAGAGCTGCATTCGGGAAGAAACCCTCAGGGAAGTGAGAGACTCTCACTTCTTTTCGATTATCACTGATGATGTAGTGGACATAGCAGGGGAAGAGCACTTGCCTGTGTTGGTGAGGTTTGTTGACGAAGCTCATAACTTGAGAGAGGAATTTGTGGGCTTCCTGCCTTATGAAGCTGATGCTGAAATTTTGGCCATGAAATTTCACACTACGATAACTGAGAAGTGGGGATTAAACATGGAGTATTGTCGTGGCCAGGCTTATATTGTGTCCAGTGGCTTTTCTTCCAAAATGAAAGTTGTTGCTTCTAGACTTTTAGAGAAATACCCGCAAGCTGTCTACACACTCTGTTCTTCCTGTGCCTTAAATATGTGGTTGGCAAAATCGGTGCCTGTTATGGGAGTGTCTGTTGCATTAGGAACAATTGAGGAAGTTTATTCTTTTTTCCATCGATCACCACAACTGCTTTTAGAGCTTGACAATGTAATTTCTGTCCTCTTTCAGAACAATGAAGGAAGGGGTAAAGAATTGAAGGAAATTTGTCATTCTCAGTGGACAGGCAGGCATGATGCTTTTGAAATTTTAGTGGATCTCCTACAAGCACTTGTTTTATGTTTAGATGGTATAAATAATGACACAAATATTAGGTGGAATAACTGTATAGCGGGCCGAGCATTTGTACTCTGTAGTGCAGTAACTGATTTTGATTTCATTGTTACCATTGTTGTTCTTAAAAATGTTCTATCTTTTACAAGAGCCTTTGGGAAAAATCTCCAGGGGCAAACTTCTGATGTCTTCTTTGCAGCCAGTAGCTTGACTGCAGTGTTGCATTCACTAAATGAAGTGATGGAAAATATTGAAGTTTATCATGAATTTTGGTTTGAGGAAGCCACCAATTTGGCAACCAAACTTGATATTCAGATGAAGCTCCCTGGGAAATTCCGCAGAGCTCAGCAGGGGAACTTGGAATCTCAGCTGACCTCTGAGAGTTACTATAAAGAAGCTCTAAGTGTTCCAACAGTGGAACACATCATTCAGGAACTGAAAGATATATTTTCAGAACAGCACCTCAAAGCTCTTAAATGTTTATCTCTGGTACCCTCTGTCATGGGACAGCTCAAATTTAATACGTCAGAGGAGCACCATGCTGACATGTACAGAAGCGACCTACCCAATCCTGACACACTCTCAGCTGAGCTGCACTGTTGGAGAATCAAGTGGAAACACAGAGGGAAAGATATAGAGCTTCCATCCACCATTTATGAAGCCCTCCACCTGCCAGACATCAAGTTTTTTCCTAATGTTTATGCATTGCTAAAGGTCCTATGCATTCTTCCTGTGATGAAGATTGAGAATGAACGCTATGAAAATGGGCGAAAGCGTCTCAAAGCGTACCTGAGGAACACTTTGACAGACCAAAGGTCAAGTAACTTAGCTTTGCTTAACATAAATTTTGATATAAAACACGATTTGGATTTAATGGTGGACACATATATCAAGCTGTATACAACTAAGTCAGAGCTTCCTACAGATAATTCTGAAACCATCGAAAATACCTGAGAGACTTTAAAAATAGGTTTTCTTTTATATTTGATATCGAAAGAAATCTAAGAAATTTGAAAACATACAAAAGCTATAAGGTGTGTAGGCCACTTAATCACTGAATATCTTTTGTACATTAGCCATTGATAATCTGCCTGTTTAAATGGTCCCTGTTTGAACTCTCATGCGTTGGAGAACTGACTCTTCTTCCAGAAGACAGCATCGAAAGTGCCATGTTGCACTTCTGTGTGATCTCTGCTGATGGCACTTTGGAATTGTTTTAGTTAAGTCATTTTTGACATAACATTTATTATCACTGTGGATCCAGTTGTCGGGTATTGGGTTATCAGTTCTTTGAAGAAATAAATTTTGAGGAGGTGTGGAAGGAAGGAATACATTTTATAAAATCTTACAATGAAGCTCACGACTAACCTTTGAATAGCAAGTGTTTTAAGTATGCTGTTAAATATCTGTAACGTACAGTTAAGGGAATTACCAGACAGTGAAAGAAACGTGAGCTTGCCAAATAAGGATTTCATTGTAGATTTTCTCTTTATCCAGTGATCTTAAAGAAACAAGTTACAGTTAAAGATTGAATGGAAGAACCTGCCATTGTTGTTCCACATCTGGATGTTGCTGTTTACATTCCTTTGTTGAGCCGATATCTTCATAAGCTTTTTGCAGGTATATGTCGAACACTTCTGTTTCATGGTCAAGACAGGTTCAGAGGCCATGGATACTGACGACTGATTTATTCTGTCTTTTTCCATGACTGTATCTGCTGCCTCATCTTGAATTATAAGCAAAACCTGGAAAACCTACAAAAATGTGTTTTGTAGTTATCTAGGAATAATACAGAAAATATTGCTGTTATTTTTGGTGAAGAAAGTCAATTTTGTATAGTTTATTTCAACGTAAATAAAATGTGAGTTTTGTTTAAAGTTTTGTTACTTTATTTTGGGTGGGGACAAAATAGATTCTAGTAAATTCTCTTGTCAAAAATATCACCTTCACAATTGAAGATAAGATTTTATTTTTTGATTCATGTTTAACTACTTGGGTTAAGAAATTATTAAATGTGCCCTGGCTGGTTTGGCTCTGCGGTTAGAGGGTTGGCCTGCGGTCTACAGAGACCCGGGTTCAGTTTCCGCTAAGGGCATGTACTTCGGCTGCAGTTTGTCCCCGGCCCTGGTCAGGTCGTGCGGGTGGCGGCCACTCGATGTGTCTCTTTCACGTCGATGTTTCTCTCTCTGTCTTCTTCTCTCTCCCTCCCACTCTCCCACTCTATCTGAATAAAATATCGGGAAAAAAAATGTCCTCGGGTGAGGATAAAAAAAAAAAAGAAATTATTAAATGTAAGGTTTATCTGATTTTTAAAATATTATATACTATATGGCCCCAGATATAAATTGTCAGGGTTTGTGTAATTGTTGCTGGCTAAAATGTAAATCAATATAATTGTAGAGATGTCACTGAATTCTTTTATGTTGGAATAAGTTAGTGTTATTTGAGTTTCAGAAAACAGAATGGGGTGTATTTGTGGAGTGCTGGCTCTTGATGAAGGCAGTAAATTTCCCTGTTGTTGACAAGCCTGGCAGATATGTCAGATCAGGGCACGTTACTCATGCAGGTTATATTGTTAAGCAGTACTAGATAACTGATGCTAAATTAACCCTCATAGCACAATCATAAGTGTAGTTTTATAGTTTAGGAAACTATAAAAAACTAAGTTTTTTAAACTTAGGAAACTTAAAAAAGCAGTTTATCCTTTCTCACCATTTTGTGGCTTGGTTCAGTGGTTCTTTTGCAAGTCTCATCTGGGCCCGCTGCATTGAGATGATAGATTGGCTGGGGGGGTGAGGGGGGAAAGTGTTGAACAGCTGGGCCTCTCCATGTGGTCCTTTGACTTGGGCTTATGGCATGGTGGTCTTAGAGTACCAAGAAGCAAAGGCAGTAGTGTCAAAATCTGGGCTTAGAAGCTGACAGAACATTGCTTTCACTGGATTCTTTTGGTCAAAGCAGTCAGAGGGCTGGCCTAGATTCAAAGCATGAGCAAATAGACTCCTCATCTTGATGGAAGGAGCTGCAAAATATGGCTCCACTTTTAGTCTTTCATAATAGAGTATCCAAAACATTTATGTAACAAGCATTGGTTAACAAGCACTTTTTAAAGTGCTTATCATTGCCCTGGCCGGTTTTGCTCAGTGGTTAGAGCGTTGGCCTGCAGTCCAGAGAGACCCAGGCTCGGTTCCCACTAAAGGTGCGTACCTTGGTTGCAGTTTGTCCCCATCCCTGGTTGGGTCGTATGGGTGGCAACCACTCGATGTGTCCCTTTCACATAAATGTTTCCCTCTCTCCCTCCCACTCTATCTGAGCAAAAAATTGAAAAATGTCCTTGGGTGAGGATAAAAAAAATGCTCATCATTTGTTTTTATAATTTCTGTATGTTCTCTAAATTAATTTGGAGATTTATTTAAAGCTTGAAAACATTGATTTAAGGCATTTTCAGCCCTGGCCAGTTTGGCTCAGCAGTAGAGCATCATCAGCCTGTGGACCAATGAGTCCCAGGTTTGATTTCCAGCCAAGGACACGTACCTCGGTTGCGGTTCATCTCCGGCCCAGGTCATGGTTGTGCGGAAGGCAACTAGTTGATGTGTCTCTCTCATGTCAGTTTCTTTCTCCCTGTCTCTCCCTCTCTACCTGAAGATAAATAGAAAAATATCCTTGGGTAAGGATTTTAAAAAAAGGCATTTTCACGAACTGATCTTTGAAGGTAATTGAGTCAATGATAGTTTCCCCACAGATGAAATAGAGATTGTCATGTTTGTAAAATTAGATCGTAGAGCATAATACGTGTAGTGACTTTTTATTCCACCAATATAAGTTGAATGCTTACTGTGTGCCAGACTTCTCCGTTAACCTGTTAACCGGGGAATAACTGGGGAATTCCCTTTTCACTGTATGCAACGTTTGACGTATTTATACGTCCCGCTCTGTTAACAGGTTAAGTGCTAGTGATAACGGATGCACTTTCTTATTCACAGAACTTACAGCCTAGTGTTGGCCCACAATACTACAATTGTTTATAATCACACACACACACACTTTATAAAGTTAAATGAATCAGATTGAAATTAAAGGAAAAGAAAATAGTATATTGGTATTCATAAAAACCTTGTGCAGTTTTTTTTAAAATACTGTATCATCTAAACAGTTTGCAAAATATGCTAGGAAATATATTCAATATTTAGCATACCTAATTGGACGAATTTTTGCTTTTGACATATCCACTCTCCTTTCTGGGAAAAGAACGTTGTATAGTTGAAGCCTAACATTGAATTTGTTACTTGCAAAATAAGAGAACAAATGCTTTATTAAAAATTTTATGTAATTTTCATTTGGTTCTTAACAATTACTGTGTAAGGTAAATAGTAGTGGATTGAGTTGAAAGAGACCCCTTTTGAGGCAGTTTCTCTGGTAACATTTGGATCTGGTTTTTGTTTCATATTAGGGTCAGCCACTTTTTAAGTGCTATTTAAAGTGAGAAATTCATAAAACAGAAAAATTGTACTTGCACTGTTTATTAATAGTTATACTTGAGGGTTTACAGAGCACTTCAAATATATCATTCAAGTCCTCAGAGAAACTTAGGCAGGTATTGTCCCCATTTTTCAGTTGAGAAATCAAGCTCACAGAAGTAAATGAATTTCCCTAAAGTATATAGTTAATAAGTGCCAGATCCAGGTACTTCAGTCCTTCAATCTTAAATTGATTGTGAAAGCCACTTCATTCTTAAGGTTTGTAAAACAAATATTTGCATTAGGAATAGGCTTCTTTTATGCTCTTGCTTTATCCATTGCCAGCTTTCAGCACAGCATCTCTAAAATGTGCTCAGTATAGTCCACGTGGGTTCCTTGAAAAAAATATATGTAAAATTGAAGCCTGAAACTTCTGAGACTTTACAAACTGGGTGTAGAAATGCTGCCACCTTTGTTTGGCTGCCAAGATACCACCACAAAGGACCGTACATCCAGGTCCATTTATTTCACGTGAGTGGGTACAGCTGTCCTCTTGCTATAATCAAAGGCTCCTCTGTAGCCAGCTTTTTGTGGCCAGAAAAAGCAAGGTAAATTTTAGTACAGATTAGCATAAAATCTCTACTAGATCGGTTTCAGGAAACAATTACTAGCTTAGAAACAATAAGTGTGATCTATAGGTTGGCTAAAATGGCAGTTAATTTCTAGACCTTTTTAAGTGCCCCTATTTCTCACCATGAATGCTATACAAATAGAATACACTAGCTGCCACTGTATTTGGTTTCATAAATTATTTAGACAGGGTGAACAACAGACTTCAAAACTAAGTAGAGGTAGTAAATCTACCCTTTTTAATGAGTTTGAATTTACAGTAGTTATTTAAACATCTGGAAGTTTAAAGTCTTAATTCATTCCAAATGTTCAACAAGGATATACTGCAAAGAGGATATTGTAATTGGGGGATCAAGAACACTACCGTTGACTCAATCTGAAGCCTTTCTAATTTTCTCTACATACATTAATCATATAAAACTTAAGAGGCTGACAGTTCAAAAAGAAGAGATGGACCCAGATATCCAAGTTGACATGCTTATAGAAGAGTAACTTTTAAAAGAGGACACAGTTACAAGAAGAATGAGGTTTAAATGCTATTAATGAACACATCTAGGATGCTGCCAGATGGTGCTGTTACATCCTTTGTTCTACCCTTTTTTACTTACAGATACAAGGTGAGTTTTTTTTTTATTGTTATTCTTAAAACTGGATTTAGAGGAGTCAAACCTTGACTTCCAAACTGTAATTTTGATTAATGCATCTGTAATCCAAGAATCTGGTCTGCAGCCAGCATCTGGCATGACACCAAGCATTCATGTAGCGTGCACTTATTGAGTCCCTACTGGATACTTGTTAGGTGTTTGTTTAATTTTCTTTCAGCAAAGTAGGGTTGCTGCAGCAGGAATGGTGACCACTGCAGAGCAGCTGCTGCTAACTGCTCAGTATGTGCCAGGTGCTACATTAACGCAGTTTACCTGGATTATTTCATTTAAACTTCTGCACCCTATGAAAAAAGATACTATTTTCCCATTTTTTCAGGTAAAACCACCTAAGCATTAGAAGGTCACACAGCTTGTGAAAGGTGGAACCGTGGTTCTAACATGGTGTAAAGATTTGCAAGTCTAATTTTTTGTCTCATATTTTCCATTCTAATTTCAAATATTGTATTGAACACCTCTGGTGCTCAATGTAAATTGAGCCTCGGGCACGAGTCTAGGTGTTATAGATACAAAGAAGAATGAGATGAAGCCCATGCCATTGGTGCAGAGGTAAGTAAGGTTGAGCCCAACCCCTGAGTGCACTGAGTGACAGGGAACCAGACATGAAGCTGGGATCCACTGGGAGCAGGGCTAATGATATGGTAATCATATACCTGACCATCTCAACCAGAGCACTTTTGAGAGTATAAGGAGGCACTATGGATAGTTATGCCAGAACAACAGATAAACCAGGACTTGCGGTCACCCCAGCTAGAGGAAACCCATGGTATGAAAGGAGCATGTAGGAGAGAGCCCTGACTAGAGGAGGTGATGCCCCAGCTACACACACAGTTGCCAAGTGAGACATACTCCCATTCCCAGTCATCACCCTTATACCTCGCTGTTCACCCTTCAGACCTCAGCTTAGATGTCACATTTTCTAGGGGCTTCCCTGTCCCTGAAATGTGAGTCAAATGGTCTTACATCTTTGCCTGACTCTTCCACTATGACAATCTGTATGGTTCTGACATGTCTTTTTGCTTATAGTGTAAATGGTCAGTGTTGAATATAGGAAGTCAAAGGGTAGGCAACAGCCTTTGCAGAAACCTATAAAACAGCAATATCTGTATTCACAAAAATTACCTCATTTAA